CGCGCATCGACACCTAACATTGAGAGGGGGCCAGGGCCCAACGGGATTTAGCCAGGATTGTAGGTTTCACCCAGGATATTCATCTGGGGTTTTCCTTCCACCACTAAAACTGTAATTCCATCTGTCAGTCTATTTTGTACAGGTTCCTTCAGGTTTGCGACCTACAGCGTCTACAGTGCTTTTGCGGAATCCTATACCAGAAATAGTAAAGCATGGTCGCCCCTATTCCTTCTACCCAGATTTTATTCAGAATGAAACAAATAAAACCAGATTATGAGCTCCATCGTCACCATGAGTTTATAATTCTGTGCACATAAACAGGCATGGCGAACACACCTTGCGACAGTGAGGAGTAGTCTCAAATCCAAGAAAAAGTTAGCAGCACGTGATAGTACGCTTGGACTAGATTACGTCAACCTGTTCGATTTTCAAAAAATGAACATGTGTGATCAAAGGCGTACCGGTACGTACCAGCAGCGATGATAATTACTCCCATTGCAGATACCATCTTGGTGGGCTCCACAGACATCACGTCAGCTAAGCCTCTAAAAGATTTAAGCACCAAACGATTCAATTAAAAAAATACAAAGTTGATAAAAATTGAAGCAATTTCAGACTCTCAAAAAAACCGGTTACTTTTCAGGAGGAAATCTGGGCCAACCTCCTCAGAATAACGACGTTTCTCTTCAGGCTTTCTGCTCCCAAATCTTCCCCAAGTCCATGGACCTGTCGTCACCGCTTTTTGTGGAAGGGGACCCCTTTTGATTTCAAAGATTCTCATTTCCGACCAACCGCTGTTGTGGTTCCAAATCAAATACAATAACCTTCTTTTTTTAAGGCCACCGACCTTGTCTGCATCTTTGGACCATGAACATTAAAAAAGAGAAATCCTCCTTCCGGTTTTGTTGGGAAAAGGTGGACAATAGTATCCCATGTTACCAGCTGGCATTGGCATAATTACCTGTTCAGTGGCACACACTGCGTAAAACAGGGCACCAGTGATTCCATAGAGCAAGGAACAGAGTGATTCACATCAAACTTCTGGTTGACCTGTTCTCAAGTTATTCATGTCCCTGGAGCTGTGCTTTCTTTGCTTTTACTTTATTTCTTTTACTTTACTTTATTTTCGAGCAAGAAGGTTCAAATTCGTAAACAATCATCAATGGGCAAACATGTTACATGTACAGAATATACAAATCGGTGAATGAAAGCAACTCGGATTTACTCGTCCAATGTGTTTGCATAGGGCCGGTATCCACGTTTAAAGCAATTTATTATGCCGATTAGGTACTACTGTAAAAACCATCCGACCAAGGTGGATCAAATTCCTTTTGAAAGAAACGGAGTTTATGTGCTCATCCTGAATGCCAGGGAATGAATCGGCTAGTAGTAGACCAGTGTCGATGATCATTTCACCTCAGGAAGTTATTTAGTTGGTTTTGTTTTGCAACTTAATTTGAATTTCTGTCCCTAATAGATGGCTATGCAGGATGTAGATTTGGTATGGTTTAGTGTAATTTACACCAAAGGACTGAATTTTTACCTGAACATAACAGTCTAAAACTTAATGCAAAAAAATTAATTCTTAGACCTTTTATGCTCGAATATATGAAGCCTTCTTTGAGCGGGATGAGGACCGGTATAGGGCAGACAAAGCCAGAATTCCGCAAAAATAGGAGCCATTTGGAAACTAACTCGCAGTTTCTTTGGCAGTTATGTCCCTTGCTACTGCAAATATGGATATGAAACTTAAATGTATGAAAAGAAGAACATGTTGCCTTTCAGATGACACCAAGATTGCTAGATTTAGATAATTGTAAGACCTTTTATGCTCACATATATGAAGCATTGTCTGCAAGGGATAAGGACCGATATAGCGCAGACGAATCCATAATTCAGCAAAAACTGGATGCAGTGGGAAACGAACTCACACTTNGATGAAGCATTGGCTGCGAGGGATAAGGACCGGTATAGCGCAGACGAAGCCATAATTTAGCAAAAACAAGAGGCATTTGGAAACGAACTCGCACTTCCTTTGGCAGCTATTTCCCTAACTAATGCAAATATGGATACAAAACTTAAATGAATGGATAGAGAAACAAATGGCCTTTCAGATGACATCAAGATTGGTACATTTAGATAACTTTAAGACCTTTTACGCTCAAATATATGAAACATTCTCCGCGAGGGATAAAGACCGGTATAGCGCACGCGAAGCAATAATTCCACAAAAACAAGAGACAGTTGGAACCGAACTCGCACTTCTTTTGGCGGCTATTTCCCTAACTATTGCAAATATGGATACGAAACTTATATGAATGGATAGACGAACAAATGGCCTTTCAGATGACACCAAGATTGCTACATTTAGATAATTTGAAGACTTTTGTATGCTTGGATAGATGAAGCATTGGCTGTGAGGGATAAGGACCGGTATAGCGCACGCAAAGCCATGATTCCGCAAAAACAAGAGACAATTGGAAACGAACTTGCAATTCTTTTGGCAGCTATTTTACTAAGTACTGCAAATATGGATACGAAACTTATCTGAATAGATAGACTAATAAATGGCCTTTCAGATGACACCAAGATTGCTACATTTAGATAATTTGAAGACCTGTTTATGCTGGGATAGATGAAGCATTGGCTGCGAGGGATAAGGACCGGTATGGCGCAGACGTAGCCTTAATTTAGCAAAAACAAAAGGTGGTTGGAAACGAACTTGCACTTCTTTTGGCAGCTATTTCCCTAACTACTGCAAATATAGATGTGAAACTTATATGAATAGATAGACAAACAAATAGCCTTTCAGATGACACCAAGATTGCTAGATGTAAATAATTTGAAGACCTTTTATGCTCAAATATATAAAGCATTGGGTGCCAGGTATAAGGACCGGTATAGGGTTGACGTAGCCATAATTTTGCAAAAACAAGAGGCGGTTGGAAACAAACTCGCACTTTCTTTGGCAGCTATTTCCCTAACTAATGCAAATATTGACATGAAACTTATATTAATGGATAGAAGAATATGTTGCCTTTCAGATGACACCAAAATTGCTAGCTCTAGATAATTGTGAGACCTTTTATGCTCAAATATATGAAGCATTCTCCGCGAGGGATAAGGACCGGTAAAGCGCAGACGAAGCCATAATTCCGCAAAAACAAGAGACAGTTCGAAACGGACTCGCACTTCCTTTGGCAGCTATTTCCCTAACTAATGCAAATTTAGATGTGAAACTTAAATGAATGGATAGAGAAACAAATGGCCTTTCAGATGACACCAATCTTTCTACATTTAGATAATTGGAAGACTTTTTTATGCTGGGATAGATGAAGCATTGGGTGCGAGGGATAAGGACCGGTATAGGGCAGATGTAGCCATAATTCAACAAAAACTGGATACAGTGGGAAACGAACTCGCACTTCCTTTGGCAGCAA